ATCCCCGTCCTCCTCTCTCTCTCCCACTCACTTCCTCATAGTCATATCTCAACTATCCTATCATGAAAACAATGTAAAAACGCCCCCCAAAAATTATACTATATTTTTCATATTGAGTTTAGTTCACCAGTTTTTCAGTAATATTCAGTCATCTCTGTCTTCAACCTTATTGCTGTGATGTAACACAACGTATTATTATTAACAACAAAATATTATTCCATAAAAATATAAATATATAATTGTATCATAAAATTATTTATTTATTTACTTATTTATTTATTTATAATGTATTTACTTAATTTATTTTATAAAAATTTGTGTCCTTAATATTTTTTCACGTAGTTATCTTTTTTTAATTTCTTTTATAACATATGCTTGTTTATACAGTATTTTTATAGAGTCTTAACTGCCCCTTTTTTAATTAATTGAATGCATCCTTACATTATTTTTAAAAATTGTTACTGACTTTAAACTTTTGAGCGATAATGTATTTAAAGATAAGAAACTTAGATTCATGTAATTAACTCAACTTATTTCATTAGCTCATATTTAGTTTTTGTTTTTATGTATATATTTTATTATCATTATGTAGTATACATGTGTTTATACTGTAATTACACACATGCACACTCACATTTATTTATTTATGTAGTAGTGCCGTGACTTGTTACAGGCATGTTCATATTTTTATTTTATTTTATTTTTACTCTGATGTTGAAATGGCCTTCTGTTGTGTGCACAGCAGCTAATTGAACAGGTAATTTGTATCATAGGTACCACTTCATGCATTTTAGCACAGCTGGAACAATGTATTGACCAATCAGCATCAAGGACCAGAACTATCTTTAAAATGAAAAATAAAGCACACCATCAGGTTGCACTCCTGCTGCTTAGCAGATTTGCATTTGCATCTAAACCGCTCAGACCGACAACATGCACACACAATAATTTAATCCAGATAACATGCATGCTTTTATTGGAAAATCCTCTGTACAACATCTCAGGGATAAACACAATCTCACCGGCATTCTTGGTTGAATTGCTTTCAGAGGGTGATATTTTCCTAATGTCAGCATTTGAAGCAGATGGATCCATTCGAGACCGAGGCGAGTCATTCAGCTACCCCCAGTAAAGCAGGTAGCCCTTTATTGTATTGCACACCTTTTTTTCCAGCATAGCAAATGGCAGAGCAGCAAATAATTCCTCTAATATGTTTCTGTTAAGTGGGAGTGACCTTTGGCAGGGTGTAATATCACGCAGAGAAAAAAAATGCTATGAGAAGCAGCTATGCAAAAGAAGAAAGGGCAGTTTGTTTATGATCACATTACTCTGTACCAGAGCACTGAATCTATTGATGCCAATGCTAAGGAGATGCTGGATCCTCCGATTCCTATCTCAAAGGTCAGGTAATTTAAAAGAGCAGCCCATTATCAAACCTATAGAATATTCAAAGCCTTTCCACAAGAGGAGATTAGAAACATTGGCTGGGTGTGTGTGTTTGATTCATGAGACGCCAGATAGAAGATTGAAAGAGAGTGTAGAAGGAGAGCGTTTCATATTCAGCCTCAGTGCTGGAAGGATGCACTTAGAAACACATTCATAGTAATGTCAAGGTCTTTCACTTGTGGCTTTTTTTAGTTTTAATTCTCATACATTTCTTATTCTTAGTTTGAAATCTGGTAATACAACCGGCTTTATAAATGCAGTATGAGGTATGAAATGCTGTTGTCATGACAATCAGTGCGTGTTTCATAGGTTTACATCTTTGTGGCACATTAACACGTCTACCTATTCACATTTTCTTTGTTTATACTGTATGCCACTTCAGATGTGGTTTCTGTACTGCCTCTGCAGTGTAAAAATGTCATACTTGGTAGCTATAGAGGTTTCAATATAGAAACTATAGGACAACCAATTAGTCATTTAGTGAATTTGACTAGTTTATCTGCTTTTTTGTGTTTGTAGCAGTGCTTTAAAGGAAAATAAGCAGTATCTTATTTTATAGATTATTATTTTTTATGTCTTAAAACGTTTTTACATGGTTATTTGAATTGGTTCGTTTAAAGGGGTCATGAACTGAGAAATCAAAGTCCCCTTGATCTTTTGAGATATAAGAGGTCATTGCACTATAAAAACGTCCTGTACATTTCAGAACTCAAAACTTTGTTGTTAGTCTAAAAACAGCTTATATTTAAGCCAGAACGACAGGTTGTGGAATGTGCTAATAGTGTGGCTAAACACCGCCTCCGCAGAAGAAGATCGACATCACTGTCTGTTTAGCCCACCCACCGATTTGCGTACGAAGTAGGTAAATGACAAGAGCGGCAAACGCAGCTCTACGCAGAAACCAAACGATACACTTTTCTGATTAACTTTATTTTTTATGAAGTTCCAGACCACGTCAGTAAGAACCTTTTTTTTTTCTTCAGTAAGAACGGATTTTTTTAAAAACAAGGCAGTATTCGACGCAGGGTTTTCAGAAAGATTAAAACTCAAAGATGATGCTATGCTGACGATATTGAATCCGACAGTAATGTCGCACCACACAGGTGTGAGTAACTGTTTTTCTTAAGTGGTCACTATTAGTGCTGGGCGGTATAACCAAAAATTTATATCACGGTATTTTTCAAAATTATACCGGTTTCACGGTACATGACGGTATTTTTTTTTCATGCATGACCAGGTGTTAACTATATTTTCTACTGATTGAGAGAGGAAATACTGCAGTATATTGACTTAGAATGCCCTATTTTACTGTCATGATGAGTGAATATTGTCAACTAATACCACACTAAATAGTAACTAAACACGACCCCTTTTAATACATGTTAACCAGGAGTCACTCATTTATAATCACGGCATCGTCTGATAAAATCAACATGCATCTACACTAAAGAGCGGCTATGCGGTTGTTTTGGCTATATTTTTTGTCTCATGCAGCGCACTGCCTGAGTCTGAGTAACAAACTAAAAAAAACAACAAACTATAAAGTGCATGTGATATTAACAGATAAACTACGCTCATATTTATAATTCCAAACAATCAGTAAGCGACAGGTGCTAGGAAACGCTGTTTTGTACTCATTTATTGACGAGTCGGCTGCGGTGCGGCCAACTGAATGCACTGCTTCTCTGCCGCTCACTGCACAGAACAGACGCCGAGAGAGGTGACATTTCTCCGGGAAAGTCAGACCTGACGAAATCTTCCATCTCCAGACTTTTCCCTGTGTTAGTGTGTGTTATAATGAGTGGTGATCTGGCACTGGAGTGCGTTATTTTTAATGTTTGAGCTGAGGGTTTGTGGCTGTTATCAGAGGTGGAAAACAGCAGTGGTAATCTTCTCTTATGATGTACATGGAAGACACACACTTCCATCTATCGCTGTTGCACAGCTGCAGCGGCCCGCTATCCATTCTAGTGAAACCACAAAATGCAAACAAGTACACCCAGCTCTTGATATACATCCCCTGAGGTACATACAATTAAACAATTAAAAAAATTACAAAGTTCCTCGGGGGGAATTAGAACCAGGAAACCATTCTCTCCAAGGTGAAAAGCTGAGATTTATGTATTTAGATTTTTTTTTTTTAAAGACATGAACATTTTACATTTTAATAAAAATAGAGACAAGTAAAATTATATCTTTTAAATGTTTACTTAATGTTTTTTCAGTAAGTTTTTGAAAGATGTCTTATGCTCAGCCATGCTACATTTATTTGCTCAAAATACAGTAAAAACAGTAATATTGTGAAACATTTCTTCTTTTTTTTTACGTTCTTTTTTTTCTGTGATGCAAAGCTGAATTTGCAGTATCATTACTCCAATCTTCAGTGTCACATGATTCTTCAGAAATCATTCTAATATGCTGATTGTGCTCAAGAAACATTTCTTATTTTGAATGTTGAAAACAGTTGTGCTGCTGTCATTTTTGGTGGAAATCGTACTACAATTTTCAGGGCTTTTTGATAAATAGAAAGTGCAAAAGAACAGTCTATATTAGAAATAAAAATCTTTAGTAACATTATCAATATCTTTACTGTCACTTTTGATCAATGTAATGCACACTTATAGAAGTATTGTTTCTTAAAAAAGATCATACTGACTTTTTAACTTTTGAACAATAACGTATTATGATTCTGAGCAGAAAAAAAGAAAGAAAAAAATGATTGGTTGTCATGTTGCTTTATACGGTTCAGAGAGAGAAGGCACAGATTAGCAGAGGAAAGTTGGCCGTTATTCACAAGTGTCCTTCAAACTGGCTTAAGAAAAGACTGTATACGGTGTCAAAGGAAGCAGAACACAGCAAAAAGGCTTAGTATGCGAGTTAATTAAAGAATTACACCGTCAAACGCTGTTGTCAGGAAATAGCGGGATTCACTGAAGCACATTATCAGATAGTTGCCCTCGTTAACAGCCTCTGTACAAAATGAATAAGAGAAAGTGTCAGCGTTTCACGAAGATGGTGAACACACAGTGTGGCCCCAGAGAGATGTATTTACCAGCCATTGTACCAGCCAATGCGCCATTTTATTCTCACCTACCCTTAATGATAGAGGACAGGATCTACGGTGATGGAATTAACCAGCGGTGGATTATAAAGTTGTAGAGAAATATATTGAGTTGACGCTGGAACTGACCATTAAAATTTCTCACAGATGAAAAAAGATGAAAAACCTACTGTGAGTTAATAAACACCTGCTTTGTTGTTGTTTATGGGACCATCTATCATTTTTATACCGAAAATATATGCAGTCTCATATTTGCCAGTTATTACTTTCTGTTCTCGCATTGTTTACGATCGCCGATGACTAATAATAGATACGAGACGGATCGGTTGTCGAGATTTTATGCAAGATCTTATCCACCTTTTGGTGTGTTGTGGGTTTATGTGCGTCCTTGTCTGTTTGTGTGTTTTATCTCACGCTGTGCCGAGGAAAGCCCTTGTCCGTGTAGTGATGTGTGGGGTCGCATAAGATACACCATTACTGATAAGATAAGCTAATGGAATCTGAAGGTCACCGAAAGGTCATTTTCCCGAGGCTTCGCCGCTATGGCAGAGTGGCAACACTTCATGATGATAAAGTCTTCGCAGAGGCCTGGAGCAGCAGCACTTACACATACAGTGATAAGCGGAATACTTACTTTTTGGAAAAGTGTGTCAAGACATTTTTTTTTTAGAATTGCAGCAGTATTTGATGATATATCATCTTTCATTCATTAACTAAATCAGTGTGTGACCTTACTATGTGAGATTGAGTGATATTCAAAACAGTCAATGTCGGTTACTCTGCTTTTAGTTAAAGACTGAAATTTAATTAGCCCTTTTTTGCACGATAATTAATGGCATACAGATAGATTTTCACCTGCCAAAGGTGTTTGCATGCAGTTGGAGCTATAAATCAAGCCCTAGGGGCCTTCAGTGCTAAACCAGTTAGAGACCTTCTTTATTTGAAATCTTCACATTCGAGTAATGAGTTTGTGTTAACCCAAAGCCTAAACACCCACACTCTTATATTGAGCCAAATGGATACTCTGCCATGTCATTGTTTTTTTTTAAAGTGCATTTAAAGTTATCTACTTTTTTCCAGAGACTTTTGAATAGAAATAAAATAAATAAATAAATATATGCCTCATAAATGTAAGTGTGTGTGTGTGTGTGTGAGTGTGTGCGCTATATTGAGCAGTGTTGTTGCTAATGAGGTCTAGCTCAGTGTAATTGAATTTTTTTTCATTGTAGTTTGGCATTGGCAGTATATGTATATTTATGTATTTATTTACTTATGTGTGTATATATGTATGGGTTCATTCATTCATTCATTCATTTATTCGTCATACATTTGTTTGTAAAGAACTAATATAATGTTATTAATTTATATATTTTAATTACATTTCTATGTTTTTATTATTATTCAATGTTTCATTATGTTTATATTTTTATAGTACTTTAAAAATTTTGATTGAAATTTTTTCATTTTAGTTATTTATTTATTTATTTTACTTTATTTATATGATGGGGCCATTGAAGATATTGGCAGGGTGTATGTAAAGCTAAGCTACTGGCATGATAAAAAAAAAATTATATATATATTATTGTAGCCTGATTTAATTAATGTGTAAAACGTCTGCTGAACTTTTCTTCTCCTCTGTCCGTCAGCTTCTCATTATATATTCAATCCATCAGGCTCCCCCTCCTCTCTCACTCTGTTTCTAGCTCTCTGCCTCTTTTTTCCTTTTTCAACTGGTCTTCATTAATCTCAAACTCTGTCTAATTATCGTTAGCCTGCACTGAGCGAGTGCAGCATTTTCTCCAAAGGAAGCTGAAGAGTCATGGATGGTCTCCGAAGATACATTGAGCCTTTTCTCCCAGGGTGCACTTTGTGTTTGGTGACTAATAGTCCTGTTTTACGGCTTCACTGGCAGTGTTGTGGTAAAGACTCTGAACCCTGCCATTGATCGTCTCGCGCTGCAGATTTATGAGACACTCCACTGTAACTGTCTAGCAGACAGTGGCTGCCACATTACCCTCATATTGAGCAAAATGGATACACTCTGTCACCTCAATATGTTAAAAACCAAACAAATGCGCATTTAAATTGATCTGCCTCTTAGAGTTATCAGATACAGCTGCACCTGTATAAAGATAATGAGGGAGTCACATGACCTGTGATGTCACCTCATCTGATGCCATCCTGTCTCGCCGTAGACATTCATTTTCCATTTTCACACAGTATTTTTGAAACGGTCACAACTAAAATTAGAGCTTACATAAGCTTGGTCAATCGGTGAGTCATCAGGCATAGATATGAATTATTTAATTACAAGTTTTGGACCATTTTAGAGGACAGTAGAGACTAATCAAGCAGTTTATTGAATTTGTACTGCAATTTTCAGCATTTGGGTCACAGCTAGTTAACTAATCATCCTGCAATCAGCTTATCATATAGTGAGGTTATTTTTTTTATTAATGTTTCATTTTTGTTTCATATAGTTTATTTTTTAGGTCTTATTTTAGTTTTGGTTTTGTTCCTTTTTTATTTTCTTTTTTCCTTATTTTTTAGGGTTTAGGTTAATTTTAGTCTATACCATTCAAAATGTTGGGGTGGTGTTGTTGTTGTTTTTTAACAATAAAAACATTAAAATTACAATTTAAAATAACTTTATTATATTATATTATATTATATTATATTACTGTGATGGCAAAACTGAATTTTCAGCAGGCATTAATCCAGTCTTCAGTGTCACAAAAAAAAAAATTTAATTAAACATTTAATCAGACATTTGATTCAGCATCCCCTTTAAAGAAATGCAACATCCATATGGCTGATTGTGATTACTTAAGAAATCGTTTAGGCAACGTTTAGTCAAATTTGTTAAAATATGTAGTTTTGCACATCCAAAACTATCCAAATGCATTTCATTTCGCATATAAATCCTTTTTTAATCTGCCAAAGAATGATTTTGACTAGTAACACTCACTTTGTCTCTATTATGTACCTGTTAAGGAGCTTTTAATTGCTGTCGTTCTCATTGCTGTTGTCTCTTCCTCTCCTTTCTGCTCCCTCCTTGTCATTCTTTCATTGTATCACGTCTTGTCTGCTTGTCTTCTCACTGTCCTCTCATTGTTCCTGTACCTAGACCTAGTGAACCAGTTCTGTGAGCAGGTCCTGAACTTCTTGTTTTGTCCCTACTCTCCTGCCATAGCCCCGTCCTCCCCCGGTGTTGACTCCGTACCCTTGCAGCGAACAGGAAGTCAGAATGCCACAGGGACGTTTCCCAGAGGCGGCTATGCGTCCGGTCAGGGCGCCAATTACACGGATACTTACCGCACGTTGCCATACTGCTCTTCAGTGGAGTCTCCCTACAGCAAGTCCGGCCCTGCCCTGCCACCCGAGGGCAACCTGGCCCGCTCGCCCTCCATCGACAGCATTCAGAAGGATCCCAGGTGAGTCTGCATGGACCTTTTTTATAGTCACAGTAAATGTGCCTGGCAAATGTACACATATCGATCAAATTTGAGCTGGAAGAGCGGTTGCTGAAGGGGTTTTCAGGGGTTGTGTGTGTCAGTTTTTGGAGACCTCTCTCGAAATATTTGACAGTCATGCATTTGTATTGTGGTGAAATTATATTTAGTCTTATCAGTAAATTGAATATTGAATAGTACAGTACAAGTGAGTATTACCGTTTTAGAGCACTGTAGAGACTAACCAAGTTCTTGTTGTATTGTAAGTTTCAGAATTTCAAATCCAACTTATAAGTATATGGATCATAATGGACAACTAGTTAACTGATCATCCAGCTTGTCTTACAGTGAGGTTATTTTTATTTTTCATTTTACTTTCATTTCCATTTTAGTTTAGTTTTGATTTGATTATGTGTCTAAGATTTATTTATTTATTTTCACATTTTAGTTTAGCATTTTGGTCTTATTTTAGTTTTGATGTTGTTACTTATACTTTTTTATTTTAATTTAGGTTCCTCGTTTTTATTTTTCTATTTGTATTTTTAAGTTTTATTTAAATTTTAGTCTACATACACTGCCGTTGAAAAGTTTGGGGTCTGTAAGATTTTTTTTATAAAAAATTTTTTTTCATGGTTTAATTTAGTATTTTTGTCTTATTTTAGTTTTGATGTCGTTACTTTGGCGTTTTTATTTAAATTTAGGTTTCTTAGTTCTATTTTTCTATTTCTTTTTTTTTTTTGGCTTTATTTTAATTTTAGTTTACATACACTACCGTTTAAAACTTTGGGATCGGTAAGATTTTTTTATTTTTTATTTATTTATTTTCATGTTTTAATTTAGTGTTTTGGTCTTATTTTTATTTTTGTTTTATATTTAATTTTAGTCTGCATACACTACCGTTCAAAAGTTTGGGGTCGATAAGATTTTTTGTTTTTGAAAGAAGTCTTCACCAAGACTGCATTTATTTGATCAAAAATACCTTAAAAACAGTAATGTTGTGAAATTATTTTAATATGTTGTAAAATGCTATTTATCCTTGTAATGATGGCAAGGCAGAATTACTCCAGTCTTTAGTGTCTCATGATACTTTAGAAATCATTATACACATTTAGACAGTCTATCGGGGTAAAATCATATTCAGGATTCTCAGTAAACATTTGGTCGTGACATAAATGAGAAGGAAGTGATTTTGTATCCATAGTGGAGCTCTGTTTTGTAATCTTCCGTTCATGTCACAGTAAAGCAGTTGACTTATCAAAGGCTAATCCTGCTGGATCTTTATACCGCCATATCTTTTTCTGTCTTCTGTTTTTCTGTCTTGTGCAAATAAATAATTTGAATACATAAGTTAATAAGAATAAATATTTTGACTTCCGGTTTGTTAAGATGGTGTAGACAGGCGTTGAATCTCACTCCCGCAACATTTTATTCTATAGCTTCCTTAAAACCCGACAACTTCTTTCTCTTTCACTGCAAATTGGACAACATTTTTGGCGTGCACATATCAGTATCCAATTATGGCAGCTAAATCAGTAAAACAAGGCAAAAAGGAACAGAAAGCTGAAGCGTGCGGAGATGACGGCAAAGATGTTAGCATGGCAGCTATCGCTAACCTTCTGGAGGATCACCGGGCTGCTCTCTCTGCAGATTTTAAAGCCACCGTCTCGACACTTGAGGTAAAGCTGGATCAAATTCAAGACACCGTGACAGAACATGGCTCGAAGATTGCTTCACTCGAGACCCACGCAAATTCACAGGATGAGCGCATGCACGCCTTAGAAACTACGTGTGCTATGTTAAAAGAGAGCAACTCTAAACTGCTTGCTAAACTCGTGGACCTCGAGTCTCGTAGCCGGCGTAATAATATAAGAATTATTGGGCTACCTGAATGCATAGAAGGACCTCGGCCGTCTGTCTTCTTCTCTGAGCTACTCGTAGAAGTGTTTGGGGATGGAGTCCTGGAATCTCCGCCGGAGTGCGACAGAGCGCACCGGTCACTGGCTGACAAACCGAGGCCGGGGCAAAGGCCTAGGCCTGTTATTGTCCGGCTTCACAAGTTTCAGCAGAAGGAAAAGATCTTTCGCGAAGCCAGAGCGAAGAGGGGAAAGCTTTATTATCGTGGCACTCCTATCGCTATTTTCGAGGATTATGCTCCGGAGGTGCTGGAGCAACGTTCCAAGTACAGGGAGGTGATGTCTGAACTTTACAAACTGGGACTAAAACCAGCGCTGCTGTTCCCGGCCAGGCTTACTATTGTTACGAAGGAGGGAAACAGAAGAAGACTTGCATCTGTCGCTGAAGCCAAGGACTACATTGCTAGGACTAGTTCTGCTGAGGACTAAATTTGAAGTGACTGATGCAGTAACCTGCGGCTGACTCGGTTGGTGACTCAGGATGTAACGTTAGCATTCGCTAAATGTTTTGAATTCTGCAAGACTTAAATGGCTGACTAGTTATCGCCTAGTTGTTACATTTGAACGTGCATAAGTTCTGTTTATTATAGACTTATAGATCCCTCTCGTTAGGCATCATGGAGGGGTTGTGTGCACCCTTGTTTTCACTTTACTTGTTGCCTTTGAAGATTTTGCAGCTGTTACACACATTCGCTGCCTTTCAGACTCTGCCGTGGCGCCTACAATACGTGCTGTCATAATACTTTAGATTGGTTCAGTTCAGTATTTTTCATGGTTATATTAGCTTATTCAGTGACTGTACATGTTACATGGTTATGTGTACATAATTTAACTTTGATTGTTTACTAAGTTATGTTTAAATGTATCATTTAGCTTTTTAAAAATTAATTTATTTTTATTATTATTTACCTTTTTTTATTATTATTTACCTTTTCTTCCCTCCATTATAGTGGGTAGTACTTACAGTTTTTTACATTTATTTTATTCCCATTTATATTGTTTAATCCATGACCCGCGCTGACTGGACTTTCTCTTCTGTCATTGTGTATGCACCTGTTGACTGTGAAACTTTGCAGTTGTGACGTTCAGCAATAACTGATGTTAGAATATGGTTGGGACCCAATATACTTGAAAGGGGGTTGACCTTTAAGTAGGTGGCGGGAATGAGATGTCGGAAGTCTTGAGAGTATTGAGCTGTGTTGCCCGGATCATGTTTGCACTTTGGGGGATGTCTTTGGGGCCACCATTTTGGGTGGGTTTTTATTTTCTATTTATTTTTATTTTTTATTCCCCTCCTGTTTTCTGTCTTTTTTTCTTCTTATTTCGCTTTACAGAAGGCCCTACAAATTCAAGTCACCTCAACTTTCTACATTGTTCTAGATGGCTCCTGACACTTCAAAGATGGGTAATGGTGTGCGCCTTATTTCTTGGAACACTAAAGGAATGAATAAGGCTGTTAAGATTGGTAAGGTAATGACGCAGTTGCAACATTTGAAAGGGGATATTATATTTTTACAGGAAACACATCTTAAAACATCAGCTGTCCAACGTATCAAAAGGGCTTGGATGAGTCATCTTTTTCATTCAAAATTCTCCGCTAAGGCTAGAGGGGCTGCTATTATTGTTAGTAAGAATATATCGTTTGAGCCAGTACAAGTTATTCAAGATGTTAATGGCCGTTATGTCATAGTATCGGGCTTGTTAAACAACTTTCCAGTAGTTTTAGTCTCTATTTATGCTCCCAATTGGGATGATGAGCAATTCTTCGTTAACTTTTTTGCTAAAATTCCGAACAGCGACAATCATCACCTACTGATTGGGGGCAATTTTAATCTGGTGCAAGACACACGTCTTGATAGGTCATCATCTAAGCAAATCAATTTATCAAATTCTGCTAAAGTAGTGCTTGCTTGTTCATCTCATTTAGGAATTTCAGATCCTTGGAGATTTAAAAACCCCCATAACAAAGTCTTTTCTTTTTTTTTTTCCACCGCACCAAACCTTTTCCCGGATTGACTTTTTTTTTATTAACAATAAATTGCTGCATCTGGTTACTGCTAGCATTTATCACCCGATAGTTATTTCAGATCACGCTCCCACGTCGATTGATATCAATCTCCCACTTAGTGTTACCTCCCCATCTCTATGGAAATTTAGTTCTCATCTTTTAGCAGATCACGAGTTTTAAGAACTTTGTTGCCACTCAAATTAGTAATTACATTGAATTCAATGATACCCCTGAGGTTAATATTGGATTTTTATGGGAAGCTCTGAAAGCTTTTGTTCGAGGTCAGATTATTTCTTTCATATCACACATGCGTAAGGTTGAACGTGCTAAAAGGCAGGACATTCTAGAAAAACTTCTCAAACTTGATGAAATATACACCATCTCTCCCTCCCAAACCCTTTACAAAAAGCGACTTGTATTACAATCGGAATATAACTGTTTGATGACACACATTGTAGAGAGACAACTGCGACAAACTAAGCAGCGTTTCTTCAAACATGGTGATAAGGCGGGGGCACTCTTAGCCCAACAGGTTTGTGCAGCCAGTGCCTCTAGGGTAATTTCAAGAATTATTTCCTCTAGTGGCAATCTTACTGCAGACCCAGCTGAAATCAACAAAGCTTTTTTAGACTTCTATATTAACCTTTATACCTCTGAATACTCTTCAGGTTCAGCAAAGATCCCCAACCCCTCATTAAATTACCCTAGAATTGACGAAGACACTGCTACGGAATTAGGTGGCCCCATTTGACCTCGGGAGGTCCAAGAAGCCATTAGATTAATGCAGAAAGGGAAATCCCCAGGCCCTGATGAGTTTACAGTTGAATTTTATAAGGAATATTCTAATTTACTAGTGCCAATTTTGGTGAAAATGTATAACGATTCTTTTCAAAAAGGTCAACTACCGGCGACTCTGTATATGGCATCCATATCCTTGCTTTTAAAGAAAGACAGAGATCCCACCTCCTGCAGTAACTACCGACCGATTTCTCTGCTAAACGTAGATTGTAAACTTTTAGCTAAAGTTTTCTCTCTTCGCCTCCAAGATGCCATGTCATCCA